CTTATAATTCTATATAACCTAGTCGAGGGCAAAAGGTTTTAGAAGGCGAATACGGCGTCGTTTCCTAAACAAAATTTTTGACTTCGGAAATCATTCCTCCCACCACATTACTACTCGCTCTAGGTCACGGCTGGAGAAAAAATGCCCTTATTTCCTCTTCAACTTCTTTCTCAGAATTTCTCTATCTTTTGGTGATTTTGATAGGCCCAAGTGAGTCTCCTAATTTCTTCTTTCGATCTTATGCTCTTCTCTAGCAATTTGCTTTTATGGTTCTCTTGTTTTTTCTTTTTTTATTAGTTGTGTCACTTTTCTTGTTTGTACATTTAATGAAACCTAAAGACCTGTATATAGAGACGACCTTGAAACTAGTTTTGTAGTTGAGAAATGCCGTATTTAGAGTGTGTTTTAGGGTAAGTTTCTTGAAAGTCAAATTACTTACTCGAGATCATATCATTTCTTTAGGTTGTAACTGTGGAGATATGTCATTAATGTATCCGAAAAAGTTGGATACTGATTCCAAAGATATAATCAGCAGACTACCAGAAGCTCTTATTCACCACATCTTGTCCTTCCTTTCCACAAAAGAAGCTGCTTTAACATCGCTTCTCTCGAGAAAATGGCGGTTTCTCTTCGCTTTGGTTCAAAATCTTGATTTTGATGATCGGTTATATATGAAACCTGATTTGGTTAACCAAGAAAGTACTTTGATTCATAAAACTTTTATAGAGTTTGTGGATAGAGTATTGGGTTTGCGGGGGAGTTTTCCTGTAAACAAGTTCACTTTAAAGTGTGGAAATGGTGTTGATGATGTTAGTGTCAAGCGTTGGATATACACTGTGTTGGAGCGTGGTGTATCGGATCTTGATTTACGCATTGCCATACATTGGGATGATCTGTTTCCTTCAGAAGTCTTTGTGAGCAAGTCACTAGTTAGGTTAAGAATAGGAGCTAGAAATGGTCTCGTCTTTGGAGGTGCTCTCTTCATTGAACCAGAACATGTTTGCCTTCCAAAGCTGAAGACTCTTTATATTGACTCGGTTCTGTTTGAATATCAAAATATTTGTCTCGCCAAGCTTCTTTCAGGTTGTCATGTCCTTGAGGAATTAATTGTGATTAATCTTTGGTGGAATCATTGGGAGTCTTGCTCTGTGTCCGTTCCAACTCTCAAGAGACTAACGTTCTGTACCGAGGGCTATCAGGAAAGCCCGAAGAGTGTTACGTTTGATACTCCAGCTCTTGTCCACTTTGAATATTCCGATACTATTGCATTAAAGTATGAAAAATTGAATTTTGATTCGCTCGTTGAAGCTAGCCTCAATCTTCGAGTGGGATATGAGGAGGTAGGAATTGTAGAATTACCGGATCAGGAACCACTTAGAGTACACGCGATGGTTGGCGATGCAACAGAACTACTTATGGGAATACGCAATGTTCAGATCCTTTACTTATCTGCCAACACTATTGAGGTTTGCATGTTAATCACATTTCTTCTGCTTAAAGGATTTGAGTTCATGATTGGAGATAATGATCTGATTGATTTGGTTATGTTTAAGGTACTTACGTTCTGTTGCAAAGCAATACCGATATTCAACAACCTGACTCATTTAACTATTGAGAGTAACACAGAAGTTGGATGGGAATCATTGCCGAATCTGCTCAAGAATTGTCCAAATCTGAAAACACTCATTTTCCATGTACAAATCAAAACACATTCTTCAGTCATGAGAAACAGATATATATATATAACTAACGTTTTCCTCTATTGCTTCAGGGACTCCTCCACAAATCTACAGATAGATGTGGAGACGTGTGCCGGTGCAAACCTCTGAAGGATAATCCTACTTGCCTATCATCAAGTCCGGTGAAGGTTATAAAGATACGGAAGTTTGGAGAAATTGATAACAATACAGAATTAGCTCAGATCAAGCATTTCTTGGAGTCAATGCCGCATCTTGAACAGCTCGTTGTATGCTACGATACATCAATTGAAGAAAATCTGCTTAAAGTATCCAAGCAACTTCAGAAGCTTCCTACACTAGCTTCAGCTAAGTGCAAGATCCAAGTAATCTCCAATAACCTCAGCATTTCATTTACTCTTTCCTCTTCCTTATCGATGAAATGAATCGTTCCTATTCTTTCGAAGATTTTTTTTGCCGGGTTCTTAAGTCTAAACTCAAGACCGAGATTCGTTTGTTTCTGCCTTTTGTTCTTAGCTCAGGGCACATTATAGTTTTGTGACTTTTGTTTAAATGATTTTGGCCTTTTGATTGGGAATGTTGGATTATCTTTTGCTTGTTTCAGATATTTGTTTGAGTGGCTAATTTGTCATACAAGTCAAAATAAGTCTGATCAACTCTCTGAAACAGAGGATTGTTATTACCTATAACATTAATCTCATCTTGAATGTGAAATAAAGCACAAAACCCAAAAAATTCATATGGATTTTTTGTTACATACTCTTTTACTGTGACCTCAAACACTTAGCCATTTCAAACCCATTCCTAGCATTCTGATAGTCCTCAAAAGCCATATCGATCTCCGCCTGCGAATTCATCACAAACGGACTACACTGAACCACATGCTCACCAATCGGTCCCCTCCAATCAACGGCCTCGAGGTTGACTTGTTCCATACGTTTACTAAATCCCCGGGTCCAAACACTACAACATGGTGCGCCGATATAGAGGAAGAGTTCAAAGAACCAAACACACCTTCATCGCCTTCTATAATGTAGGCAAAAACGGTCCATAGTTGTGGAACGGTCTGGTGAGTTTGAGATCCTGGCTTGAGGGTAAAGTTAAGGAACGTTGTTGGTGTTCTTGTGTAGACTAGAGATTGGATTCCCATTGAATCTCCGGCTATAACCTTGACCTCAACTCCTTTTTCTTCTGCTCTCGGTATATCTAAACTCGACTGTACCTTATATTTCGGCTCGATCCTATCAAAATCAATGAAGATAAAGTTTCAAAACTTGACACTTCTTTATGAGAGAGAGGATAATAGAGAATCTTGTTTTACATTTTATCATGTGAAGGGAGATTGATCCAAAGTTGTAAACCATTGTTGACTTCTTCTTCAGGCATTTCTGAATGGATTATTCCTCTTCCTGATGTCAACCACTGTCAAAATCAAAATTGAGTGAAACCAGAAAACTCGTAGATGATTTAATGTTCTTTTGGAATCTGAAAATGTGTTTTTGTTTTTGCACCTGAACATCTCCGGCTCGGATTGTACCATTATGACCATTGAGATCGTTGTGAATGATACCTCCCTGCATAAAAAAGTTAAAGCCATAGGAATCAAGATTCAAGAATCGAATCTGTAGATAATTCAAGAATCTGTAGTCCATGTGAAAAAATTTTAAATTCTTTGAGAAAAAAAGGTCCAAATTTTTTTTTTTTTTTTAATTTCTCTTGAAGAGGTTCAAAATTTTCTCTTTTGCCTAGGGCCTTACAAAAAAATTGAGACGGCCCTGTATATACGGGTTTGAATCATAAACTAATAGACTACGAATGTTAAATAAGTGTTTTATTTTAAAGTCTAGTTTGGAAAATTAACGGAGGATATTTGCGTTCACACTAGTAAAAAAGATTTTACAAGGTCACTGTATTCCTGAGGTGCACGACACGTGAAAATATCTCCATGTATTACCATTAATCTTCTATATATTAATTGAGGAGACACTAAAGTAAAAATTTTATGTGTCATTCAAAGAGGATTTTAAGGAAAACATTAATTAAATCAACCAATCATAACATTCCAAATTGATGTGGTAGAAATCTCTACATATTTTTAATATATATGAGGCATTGATGACAAAAATATATACTTGCCTAATTCATAACCCGGAATTTCAAGCCGATTCAATTATTAGTATTTTGGTCAGTGATAAATTTGGGTTTAACAACATTTTATAAAGTTATTAAAAACATTATTTTTTTTGTAAGTATAAGATGTAGATCACTCGATTACATTCTTTATCATATATTATAAGATGATACTTCTTTATTCCTTTTATTTTTAATTTTTGTATACAATTAAACGCAAGACCTATCATATTAAGGTACACAAGATTCGAAAACTGATCGGATAACTTTTTAGTGGATATAATTATTTATCTAATATATTTTGGTATGTATGATTCAAAACAATATATTTTTACTATGCAATAAACTGAAATTTATACTAGCATGAGTCAAAATCTAGTGTCATATAAACGTGAATAAAAAATCGTACGTGTGTGGATTTGAATCATTTGATATATATTTTTGAAATTTAAGGAACTTAGATGGAAAATTATGCTGATACATCGCAACAAATTCGCCAACAATAACACTCATATTTCACGTTCTTTTAAATCAATGATTTGGCTGTACTTCTTTAACCAAGAAAAAAAAAAAGAATTGGCTGTACTTTTTAAGAAATTAATCAACCAGCTAGGGCTTTATATTTTGTAAGTCGATGGTCTTGTATATGGTTGTTCTAGTTAAGCATATTATTTTGTAAGTCAACTAGTTGAAACAAAAAATCATAAACAATGTTGTGGAATTATGATTCATACACATCTGATATTGTTTTACCACTCTATGCGAATACGATATGTGTTTATATTAGTTTTTATGACCCAATTAGTCACAAGAAATAAAATTTACGTCTGAAATTTAACATATTAATCTTTAAAAGTGATTACAATATCTGACTGAACTTGCTATTTAGTTCAACTCATGATGTTTTAACTCTTGAAGTGCCGACAATGTTGTGACCACAATTAATTTTTTTTCACTGGGTGTTCACACTACATCTAAATATATATAAATATACAAAAACATGTATTTTAAACGACTCAAGCCTAACTTTCTGATCAATTGAAGCGAATAATCTACCACTCCCTCCGTTTCAATTTAGTTGTTATTGTAATTATTGATTCTTGTCTAGAGAAATGAAGAAGTCACTTTCAGATGAATTGACTTTTGTTATGCAAGAGCAACTTCAGATACAACCGGTTTTATCATACCGGTTGCTTCAACCCACTAAAAAGCAGAATAACCAAACCAGATCCAAATGAAATAGTTCTTGAAGAACATCACAATGACTTCTTCAGCAAGTATTGTCTCAATGTTTCGTTTCTCCTCCACTCAACTAAGAAACAACAATTTAACACAACACATAAATTATAACATCTTCAGTTTCAAAAAGACAACAAAAGCATAAAGCACCAGTCATTAAACTA